GTTTGGGCAAGCCAATGGTTTCACTAGTCTTTGTACAAATAAAACAGCTGAAAACTGAATGCATTAACATTTACTGGGTAAACGGGTCACATTCCGACTTCGATTGATTTTCGATACAGTACAGTCCTTATTGATCGTTGTCGAAGAGTTACAATCTTACTCTTGTGCTGGTAAGGCATATCTAATTAGATCCAAATATTTACTTAGTCCTCACTCTATTCAAATAGTTTACCAGTTAATATCAATCTATGGTGAAAATTACTTTGAGATTGAATAAATTCTTCATAAAACCACCTGGAGAATAGTGTAAAATTTTTATCTGGATATTAAGCCCTTTGAATCCTGTCAAGTTTCAATTATCGCTACTAGTAGATGATAGTTCTATATTTTATCCATAAATAAAATGACTTATTCATAAGATGTCGCGACTCAAACTGACTAACTGGTATTACAATAAGGAAATCCATTATACAACTGTTCATACTATGAACGTTCTATTGAAAAAAGTCGTAACATGATACTATATAAATTATAGTTTGAGAAAAATTCCTTAGTTGATAACTATTGAAGCACATTTTCTAGTATATCTATATATTTGGACAGTTATTTAAACATGATTATACATAAAAGTAGAACAATGTAAGGAAAGATGGATGGTAGATAGCAATGGAATATGGGGCGAGCGTTTCATCGTATTTAGTATTCATCAACTGAACGACTGGATCTACTTGCATGCCAAAGTTGATGTTCATTCTGGAACTTGTAGTATACACATATACTAATAAGAGACTAATCAATTTCAGTTCTAAACATCAATGAGAAGATTCAAGTAAACAATAACAAGGTTATAGTATTCTTATTAGAAATTATAAAACATAATCATAATTCTATGACAGCATAATAATCCCATAAATAAATGAAACAAAATAATCTAAAACTACACATCAATTTTGTCGCTTGGAGTTCATTGAACATTGAAGCATTCTATTTCACTATTTATAAGGTAGTACAATAGATCTATCATCTATAATATGTAATCAATTCATCTTTCTTTTAATTATAATAATACATATAGAATTGTTTCATACATTACTAAAATAATATATTCTGAATTCATTCAATATGCTCAACTTTATCCATTTCAAACATTAATTATGTTTTAATTCATCTACTATTATTTACTATGAAAAGAAATATATTTAATATTTATTCGAATTATAAATTGTCATCTATACACCGAATCCAGACAACGGTAATAAAGAAAATGGAGATGGGAAGGGATTCATGACAAAGCATATATGAATATATCTATCTATTTATTTATATATACATATACTACTCCTGTAGTAATAATCTTAACAAGATTAAACAAACAAATAAAACACATATAGTCATGCGGAAAAAAGGGATTATTGAAATAACTTATATATTTGAACTATCAATATGTGTATAACTTTTATTTCAGTAATACTGAGCGCTTTTCATTTCGATTCCCCATCATTCTCTATTTCTATTTTTTTCTTTTATAATTTACACTTTCATTTCTTCTCTATTCTTTTCTAATTAAAAAAGGAACAAAAACATTTTATTCTCCCATTTTCCCATTAGTATCATTACTACTATTAGTAATGATATTAATACTTATAGTATTGTAACTGATAATATTTCTATATAGTTAACCCCATCTGTTGATGAATTCCTAGAAATTTTCATTGGCTTCTTATTTAGAATTATGACTGGAAAGTTGACATCTGTAAAACTAATTTATTATAACAATAATAATAGTTGTACATTGTTTTTCTATGATTGAATTAATAATTCTGTCAACTTATATTTCATGTATTCACTCAGAATTTACAATGATCAAGGTAGACCTACATAAAACTGAATGAAAACGGATGAACTCATATACAAATATAAGTAGACGAATATTCATTTAAAAAAAAAGGTTTTGATTAATTCATTTTTGTATTGGTTGTTCAAATCTTCACATTGATGTTTTTGAACTGCAATTGATCAGTCTGTTATTGGCATATATGTATCTTGTACGGATTGCTTCAATATTGTCTTAAGTTACAAGCATTATAAGAAGAGGTGGGTGAGTCCTAAAATAGGACTGGATTCCATTGCTAGTCACCATCCATCTTTGTTTATAAGGTTTTGATTAGTTTAGACAATAAAGATATTTCGAACTAACTTAGTAAAGATTAAATCAGAAAAATAAGTTAGTTTATTAGGTTATTTGATGTTTTTCTCATTGCGAAATGACAATTGTTGCAGTTCAGAAAGTATAGAATAGAAGTTTCGATTTCACTCTTGTAATTCTAAACAAAATCAAAATTAAGGTGTCAATTTTATTTAGGCGAGAATTATATCAAAGTTTATCTAATCAGGATTCAATATTTTAGATTTTCAACGTTAGTTAATCAAAGGTAAAGTGTGATCCCTACCCAATGTTAACAATGATAAATCTTGTACTTTTAAGATAATCAAACTACACAATTCAACTTAGTTTACTAAGAATCCAGAAAATCTATTTATAAGCCAGTTAAAAGCGAGCACTCAGTTATTGTTTATTAAAGTAGCTTTTCAAAGATCACAATTTCAATTACATAAACAGTTTCAACAACCTTTGAGTTTTTTTAAACAAAATTCTGTAATCTCATAAGAGATAGACTTCATCCGATATTTTTAAAATTCATCTTGTTACATAGATTAGACTAATGATAAATTAATTATACAATTATCTTCTAACAATTGAGTTAGTCCATAATTTTGAATAGTTGGAGATAAGTATTACATTCCTCATAGATATCTTTATACCTTCATTTATTTTTTAATGCATTGCATTTTATTTTCCCGTTTCTTGACAATATTTAAGAGTTTAACTTTGTCTTTCTGTGAGTATAGAAACTACTATTGACTCAATAATTTTTATTAATATTAGTAGTTTCTCCGGTAACTTTGTCATATGATTCCAGTAGTGTTATTATCATCAGCTATGTGTTTTTCCAATCTGCTTTTGAATACATAATATAGTGTAACTTTGTTCATTTTCTGAATTATCTCTCAAAATTATTCTCCATCTCATTTTGCTTCGTTCACTTTCATTTACATTCCCAATTCTCCCCTGTATATACTTGTGTTTTTTTGAGTATCTGGACGGTTATATAGTATCTCACTTCTATAGATAGGAATTATGTAATACGGTTCATTTACATCCTCTCCTATATTGTTGTTCATGACTTTATGGATTCTCTCTTCGAAGTATGATTTCATGTTGTATAGAAACTAATTTTATTAACAAGCACTATGTGTACTGATTGCTTAGAGCAGTTCATGTGTCTTGGATTAATATGATTCAAGAACAGTAGGATGTTCTACTCATTGGAGAATATGTGTTTACCTTACTTTTCTTGATTTAGTACTAAAAGACTACCTTACAGATTGTCCTTAAAATAATGTTTTTCATTTTATTAATTAATCAATCCTACTTCAATAAAGAACTAATCAATTAAAATCTCTTCGAATCTGTAAAACCTTTGATCTAGTCAATTTATATAGTGCTTAAGAGATAGATTCATACTGATGATTTCCTTTATCACCATACTGAGGTGAAATTTCTTAATTTGAATCAGTGTACATTTTTATTTGTTACTACATCATGTTATAAAGAAAAGCCAGACGGAATTCCATTATGAGATAGTACTTTATATGACTATTTATTCGCATATTCAAATAAATAAATAAATATACATATTTGGTTTGAAAATCTAAAGTTCAATATTCTTCAAAGTGAAACTGTTTGAAAACATGATTTATCAATCATATTATCAGTATTACCAGTCGGTTAACAATTTCAGCTTCTTTGTTTTGATGAGGTCAATAAGCAACAACAACAACAACAACAAAAACATTAAATAATCATATTGAAATATTTCTCTACAGGAGGAAACTATTGGAAATGTTTTAGTTCACTCATTCACTGATACATAATCTGCATACAGATGAAATATACACTTGTGTATACTATCTTAATCACATATAAATCTTTCATAAAATAAATATTACTACAAACTGTAAAATTTAGATGAAATGTTATTATTAGTTTATATCTTGTAAGCAGATTTGTATAGTGAAGATATATCATGACATCCATAAATTTTATCTATCATAATGTTTGTAAAAATAAAATCCAAAAGAAGGAAACCAACCCTTATATTGTTACTGTTATTATTCCTAGTGGCAATATTAGTTGTATTACCACTATATAGATAGATAGATAGATTTTTTTAAAATTACTTGAAGGATTGACCTATTTCTGTCGATTACTATATACATAACCAAGTGGGATATTTCAATTGTATCTTAAGTTTACACATTATTCCTTATGTATTCTTTATCCAAGTATCTTAATTAAATTTATCTTTGATTTTTAAAGGTCAATTAAAAATGTTTATTAAATCTGAAAATAAATTCCTTTTTATATTAGTACCATATTGTTGGAAAATATTTACGCATTTACTGATGAATATATATATATATATATAATACTTGAACATTGAATAAGAGGGTAGTTTAAACTTTATGAAAAGAAAAGAAAGAAAAACTATGTAATCTTGTTTTTGTATACGTTACTGTAAGTGTTTGAATACGTTTTTGTATGCTTGTTAATGTTACAACCTGTTTTCATTTTTTATATCATTTACCCGTTTTGCTAGTTAGTTTTCTTACTAGTTTCACACTTTTAATGGATACTTCACATCTGTACCGATAGAAAAGGAAAATATAATGGGTTATTTGTTGTTGTTGTGGTGGTGGTGATGGTGCTTTTTTATAAAAATAAAAGTAATATACTGACCGTTAAAAATAAATATGATTATAATATTTTTAAAAATGAAGTTTCTTTTTTCATAGAGTATCATTATAACCATCTTTTTCACGATATGAAACTATTTTCATATCCATATTTGTGTGTGTGTGTATACTTAAGCATGTTCATGTGTCTATGTTTAAAAAAAGAATGCAGAAAATTTAATCAGCAGGAGAATAAAGAATATGGAATAGGAAATATATTCAGGTTTGTGCAATCGTGTTTGTGTGTATGTGTGAACTTATTACATTCAACACTTATTGGTATGTAAGTATTTGTGTATAAATAACAATCATTTGTGTGGTCGAATTCATCCGACTAAAAATAGTGCTGTAGTTAACACTACTACTACTACTACTACTACTACTACTACTACTACTACTACTACTACTACTACTACTACTACTACTACTACTACTACTACTACTACTACTACTACTACTACTACTACTACTACTACTACTACTACTACTAAGAATCTTTATACTATTATCGATATTAATATGAATATCAATATTATTAATGCTCCTAATATTATTACTAAGTGTTACTGAAATAAATAAACCAGGAGGTGGGTGTGTCGACAAACTTTAAATGTTAGACAAAAATGATAAGGCTGAGATGGATATGGAGTTGAAACTAGGAAAAAATCATATATATATATTGCACATTGCATTAAAGTAACTGAGGTATTTGAAAAAAAATAAATGTACGGTATATCTTTAGGCAATAGTGTAATATGCTTTGTTTTGTTTTTTTGAGATGCGAATCAGTACACATGTTAATGAATAATATTGAAAATGAATTAAAATATGTTTTTGAAAGTGTTCAATTGGCGGTAACATGTGTCCATGTGTACGTATTTATGTCAATTTATTATAAAGTGTGTTTTATTTTCCTCTGTTAGTGAACATTTGGAAAAAGATAAATAAATTTAAAAAAATAAATTCACTTTTAATCTGATTTTGTTTCTTCAAAAAAACCACACACAAAAAAAAATAAATAATGTGCACAATATTTAATAATTCCAGTCTATGAATAACAAAGGTCATTTATGTTGCCATTGTAAATAATAATTTATTTTGTAATTTTCATCGATTTATTCAATATTCTATTTTACTGAAAAAAGAACAAACCAACATGTTAAAACTTTAATCAGATTATACATTATTTTCTAAGTATATTAGTAACTAACTTTTCCACTTTTAAGAACTGTTTGATGTAGTCTATTCAAAAAGAAAAATTTTAGGGAATACGTTGTCTTATTGTATTATAACATGTAATGACTTGTTTTTGTAGAGTAGATGCCTAGCGATAATCATAAATATAGACCATGAAAATACATTACACAGAGATTAATTGATTTAAAAGGATAGAAAAGTAAAAAAATGCTTAAATCTTCAAGTAAGTCAATAAACACTGAGGTTTATAGTGTAAAACAGTAATTATTTACCAAATGAATTAGATATAATTATAAGAAAAGCATTAGACTTACGTTTTGTGTCTACTTGGACTCAACATCAATGCTTTTGAATAGTATAAAGAATATTCACTTTGTCTTAGAGGTTCATATTACCCCCCTACCACATAGTTCTGTAGTCATAGGACCTATTTCATAAACCGAATACATTACAATATTACTCAACTTATCTCTGTCCTAAACCGCATTCATATCACCTGTTTAGTATTTGTGTGTATAATATCAGTAATGTATACAAAGGATAATCTAATCTTTTTTTTTATTATGTAGTGCAAAGAATGACTTGTGCTGTGCCGTACATTTATTTCATCCAGACTTTTGTGTTTTTTATTACATTCATTATTTTATCTTGTTTATCAAATTTGTCCAAATTGCACATTTTAAGATTATCTGAAAAAATTGTTCTTTCAGACAATTTAAACTTATTACCTAAAGGTTTTTATAAACATGATCTTGGATATAAACTAGCATGTATTCTGTGTTAGTTTTGGGAATATATTGTGAATTATTACGTAGAAGTCGGTTTGGATCAAATTGAAAATTATCAACGAGAATAGAAACCAAGTGGATAATGTCTGAATGGTATGGCTAAAATGCTGATTTTCAATTTATATTAACTCAAATTTCCAATAGAATGATGAATGATATCATATTCTTATTACTAATTTAAATTATGTCCATTTAACTCTGTTAGAATGGTCTCAGTAGTAGAATTATGTTCAGTACACACTATGATAACAGATTCAAACAAAGAGTAATTTAATGTCTTGCTACCTTTCTTGTAAGCAATTAAGACAGAGATTTAATAGAGATCATTATGTATTTTCATTATCACGGAACGATAAATTGAAGTTATGACATGACTAATTATCACTTAACAATAACTTTCGTCACGTTGTCCTTTTAATAGAAAAATATGTAAACAGTTTTCGTCACAGATTGAAAACAGCTGGAAAACTATTGAAAATCAGGAGGCACTGGATAGTTGTTTCATCTTCGTTTGTAACTCCTTAACTGTAAATGTCCATGAAGCAATTTCGAATCAAATACAGAACTTACAGATCTCATAGCGAATATTATACTTTTGAATATTGATTTGAAAGTCAATAGTTTATGTTTTAGATATCAGTCAATGATCTGACAGTAAATAAAAGTCAGTAATAAAAAATAATTTCATTCTCACTCAGTCATTCACCATGTCTTCCTAATTTCATTACGTTTATACATTTTATAATCTATATTTCACTAATTTTTATACACTTTCCATAGTTTACTTGACCTCATTATAAAAAAATATAAAAAGATATAAAAAGAGAAAAATCATAGAAACAAACCATCCATAGCTAAACTCAAAACACATTGATTGCTTGACAAACAAAGAAGCGAGTTGCACTAGTTAAATAAAAAAAACATCACCACAGCCAATCGTATATACAACATTGGTGTTATTAATATTGTTCTCGTTTACACTAAATTTATTCTATGTGTGTTGATGGCGAAGTCTTATGCATACCAGTTAAGGCAAGCGTGTACAGCTTTGTATGCATATACATGAAGCTTTATTGGTTTTTGTTAACTTTTCCATTACTACCACTACTACTACTACTAATAATAATAATAATAACAACAAGAATGGAAACAATAGTATCATGGATTCTATATATTTGTATGTTTACTAGTATGATTTATTAATTTACAGCTGTCGGCTAACCAAACTAAATTATTCACAATCTGTACAATATTTTCTTAATTGTCGTTGAATTAAAATTTTTTGTACCAAAAGGAAAATACAACATAAAATTATCTCTATAGTAATTATTATAATGATTAACATTATTCTTAGAACGCTGTTAATCTGGTTTCTGTTACATTAACATGTTTCCAAATATTGTATACGTTTATTATTATTATTATTATTATTATTATTATCTTTGTTCATTTTCCCTTGTATATGATTAACAGTTTGTAAATGTGTGTAATGGAATGAGTTTCTACTTTCCATGATGTAAATATGTGAATTAGAAAACAATTAAAAAAAAGAAAAACCAAAAAAAGAGAAAAGAAACGAAACGAAATTCCTTAACATTAAATGAAAACATTTAACAAACTTTCGTAAAAAGAAAATTTTATAAATTAGGAAGAAGAAGAAGAACTAATTGAATATAGATGTTCAAATGGATGTGTAATTTACAAAAGCATTTGATTCTTTATAATTTAATTCATTAATTTATTGAATTATTTATTGAGAATTAATGTTATTTAAGCATTCATTCTATGTGATAATGATGATAGTTTGTTACGAAATCATTTATTCATCAATTTTACTAGATTCATTCATGTAGTCAATGAAGAATCTTCTTAAACTTGAGTCTGGCACCAAAATAAATTCAACGACATTTATGATTGTAAATGTTTTTGAATCATAGTTTTCATTAAATCATCGATATATATATTGTCAATTTAATTAATCAATTATAGCATACATTTGATTGGGATATAGATTATTACTTTATGAGTTCCTATCATATTTACTTAAAATTTCAAGAAATGGGTTTAGGAAACAGATAGGTTAACCGTAAGTGGCTATAAATCCTAATTGGATTAATTTAATACTTGAATTCATGGGTCAACTAAGGCTAGACCACCATGGAAAACCTGAAAAAACGGAATAGCCGTTTCGTCCTAGTATAGGACTCCTCAGCCATGCACATCAACGATCTCGCCTGTGAGACTCGAACCCGAGACTTGTAGGTCTTGTGTGCGGACGCTTAACATCTAGATCATTGAGCCGTCATCCAGCGGTGTTAGTGTCCAGCTTCAAAAATCGTGGATGGTGAAGCAATTTCATGGATTGGTTTTAGTTAGACATTAACACAGTTGGATGCCGGTTCAGTGGTTCATAGGTCAAGCGTTCGCACGTGAGACAGAAGGTTCTGTGTGTCCAGCCCTGTGTGCGGGGTTGTGGATGCACATGGCTGAGGAGTCCCATACTATTACAAAATTGCCGTCTAATGGTTACAGGTTTCTCATGGTGGTCTAGCTTTAATTGACTCATGAATTCAACCAATAAATTATTAAAATCACAAAACCCTGTTTTGTTATTTGATTAGTTCATATTATGAGCAAGAAACACAAGTTTTTTATCAATTAGATAATGTCAAAAATAACTGAAAACAGATTTAACAGCGGAACGACATCATCTAAAAGCAATACGGAAACCAAAGATAACTAAACTGTTGTTCCATTCTAATCTGGAAATTTTCAGTAATTTGAACCTATTTCGAATGCGAATAGAGAACTTTTAGGTTTCACAATGAGCCTAATGAAGTTGGAACATGAAATTATAATCTAATTTGACCTGTTTCTGTTGTCGACAGCGTTTTTTGAACGAAAATCTTGATATTTCCAATGTTTAAAATTGGTCTATAGTTTAAATATTGGTCAGCAAGTGAACTCATGATACGCCTTTTGATTCAGTATGGAATTCTTCAGATGAATATATCTCCATTCTTATCCATTGATGAAATTATTGTTTTAACTTTAAAAATTATCCATTTACAATGTAGAAATGTAACATGATAATTTATATTGTTTATTGTTAATATAATAGTGTTCCAGTTAACATAATATGCATTTACGATTATCAGCTATACATATATGAAAATAATTTCATTATTGAAGCTTTTTACCAAAAATGATTGTGAAAATTATTTGTATTACATTTACATAAATTTTATTGTAATAATAAAGACAAAAAAGTTCATCTTATGTAAAAAATGAAGAATGCCAAGTTACGTAATATGGTAAAATTTTCTAGAGACTGATAGGTCCCGGGTTCGAATCCCGTGAGGCGGGGTCATGGATGCGCATTACTGAGAAGTCCCACGATAGGACGAAAAGGCCGTTCAGTGCTTCCAGGTTTTCCATGATGGTCTAGCTTCAATTGACTCATGATCTCAACCATTGAAATTACTAAAATATCCACAAAACCCATTCTGATATTAATAGTAATGAGTTTGTAGGTATCATTACCAAGGTATGGCTTGATAATTTCGAATAAGTTGAGCATTATGT